GTGACATTTCTGGTGTCCGTTTACACACACTTCGGGCTTATTTATAACCTTCGTTTGCTTCGGCGTTATACTGGCTTGGGCTCACTCGATTTGACCCCTGTATGTTGTTATTTTTCTGGATCTGGAGCTCTAACTCTAACGTGACGGAGGCCGTTGCCTGTGATGTATTTTCTTGGTTTCGCTAACGAGTGCCGCGACCATGTTGCCCTTAAAACTACCACTTCTCTCTTTTTTCTTTTTTATATGTGTTTCGTTGGAATGTAGTTTTTTCATGCTCAAGTGTTTTTACTTGTACTATTATACATGACTTTTTTCTTTCGCTTTTTCCAATGCTCCTCCTCTCCTTTGGTCTCTCTAAAAGCGCTTTGCAACTGTATTTTCTGCACACTTGAAGAAGGGAAGTCTCTTCCCGAAACGTCGTGTATTAAATTTTTCGTCAAAGATGTATTTCACAGGTCGGTTTTTTCTTGTAAAATTACAAAGCGTAGATCTCTTTTAGTAAAAAAATATGGCCAAGAAACTTGCCACGGTCTACGGCGGGTGGCGACCCAGACGACAGGGTCCAGTAGTGGGGTGTGTTTGGCGTTCGTATTGATAGATGGCGTCAGGAGCAGCGTCTGAAGGTGCAGCCGACCAGCGAAAGATAGCGAACGACAGGCAGACGAAATCCGTTAGCAGCAAAAGCGCCGCCGTTATGCAGACGCGTTTTTTTTTTTTTTAACTTTAAGTTTTGCTTTTATTGTTCGCATTTATTTTTTAACCGAAGGTGCATTTCAAGAAGATTATATTCCTTTTTATAAACCACGGTGGTCGCGAGCCGTCGAGATGAGGAGGTAGCGCCATCTATCAATACGAACGCTAAACACACCCCGCTAATGGACCCCTGTCGTCTGCGTTGCTGCCCGCCGTAGACCCTGGAAAGTTTATGGGCCTTATTTTTTACAGAAAGAGAGCTACGCTTTGTAATTTTACAAGAAGAAATCGACCTGTGAATTCTACCTTTGACGAAAAGTTTCGATTGTTACGTGCAGGCATCGATTTTTATGGTCCATTTTAGATTGAGCCTGGTGACTTGGAACTACCCTATACTATGGCTTTGAAACAGCGGCGACCAGTGTACCTCTTCGACGAGTTTTCCTTCGACGAGTTGCCCTATGACGAATTGGCCTATTCGACGAATGGGCCGCCGACGAGTTGGCTGTCGAAGAGTGGGCTCTCGACGAGTTGGCCTAGACCCCCTTTTCATGTATAAATATGCTACAAGTGCTGTCATACCCTTGCCTCTTTTTTTCTCTCTCTATTAAAGGGCAACTCGGTTCAGACCGGAACACGAATTACTGATATTTCTTCACTGCGAGGAAATATGATAACCCGAACGCTTACTAACACCAGAATCGAAAATGCCCAAGACGAAGGCTACAAAGAGGGGGCAAACACAAGACGTCTTGTGTTTGTCCCCTCTTTGTAGCCACCGTCTTGGGTTTTAGAAATGTTTAACCTGTTCGCCTGCTTTATAACGTTATATTTAAAGTGCTATCATTAGCTCTTCAGTGGGCTGCCAGCTTTTTCGTAGCTACCGACCTAGGCCGTGCTAAGAAGTAATTGTTTTTCTGTATCCCATTCTTTTCCGAGATTCTCGGAGCAAATATACGTCCGCAACTGCTTCCTGTGTATATTCATGCAAGGCAGAAAAATTGAGCATTTGTTGCGCGCCTAACTTGAACAACTGTACACACTTTTCCGTGTCTCTTAGTTTGTTTCGCTTAAATACCCGAAACTAAAATTTGCGACTTGACAAGTTGACATCTGACATATGCTACGTCGTTAGCGGGGGGAAAACATTGTTCACTATAATTTTTAAAAAAATCTGGACCATGGTAAATTCTGTCAAAACACCAGAGTAGTGAGCACAGTTACACCCAACATGGTCCGCTCAACTATGAATGTACTTGTGATCCAGTGCGCGCGTGCGCGCGTGTGTGTGTGTGTGCGCGCGTGCTTGTGTGTGCGTGTGCGTGTGTTCTTGCATACGCTTTCAGAACCCTGCGAGCTGCATATGTTCAACCATATTCAAGACCTTTCCAGCCACGTAATTGAGAAATCCAGTAAACGGGAAGACAAAAAAAAAATATATATATATATAAGAAAAAATAAAAATAAAGACCTGGAACAATTAAACGAATATAGAAAAGACAAAACAAGAATGATAGACTGTCGCGATTAAAACGTGAGCTTCTCCCAGTTGTGTGGCGAGAGCAAAACGATGTTTTCCGGCATACAGGCAGTTTCGCAACTCAAGATGGCGGCAACCGCGTGGGTAAGGTCCATAGACATTCTTTATTGCGGACAGAGTGATCGCTGATTTTACGGTCTCTTTTAAATAATGACAACGAAGGGACCAGGGCTAATGTTTCACGTATACACGCGGCCCCGACATGACGCTGCGGCTCGCGGGCTGGCCGCGCGCCGCAGGGTGACGCTGGTGCTCGCTCTGGATGGCTGGATGGATGAATACATGGCGGCTGTTCCCTTTGAATTGGATGCATGGCGGCTCGTCCCTATGATGCCGCCAGCGCCATCAGTCGGCAGCTTTGTGCAGATTTTCCTTTCTGTCCAGCCGTAGTTTCTTATTCTGGCGCAACACCCCGTGCCAGCAGTTCTGCCGTACCACGGAGGAGGCTAGAGCTGCACCGCGGCTGGCCACACGCCAAGAGGACGAGAAGATTTAAAACGCTCCTTGGGGGGAAAATACAATCAGTGCACAGGCACGCTGCTGGAAGCTTATCATGGTCCCTTTAACCCAAAACTGGGGCAGAAGATATATATATATATATGTATATATATAGAGAGAGAGAGAGAGAAAAAGAGAGAAATGTAGCGCAGGCTGCCGAAAAGTATAAACGGCAGAAAAAACGTACTTGAGGCGGTTGTTTGAACTCTGGTATTATAACAGATTCGTAAAGTCAGTCGACGTTCCGGCCCGAGACAGACCATTTTCAAGACTGCTTGCACGAGACGAAATATTAACACACCTTGGCTACATCACGTGACCCATGACGTCGAGAGATTATGCTAATTGAAAACATATGGCTCCTTCAAAAGCCCCACGATAGACTCGACACAGACATCGCCAAGGTGCGTCAATAGTTTCGTCTCGTGTAATCAGTCTTGGAAAAGGTCTGTCTCAGGCCGAAGCGTCGACTGACTTGACGAATTTGTTATAAAACTTCAAACAACCGTCTCAAGTACGTTTTTCTGCCGTATTTATATATATATATATATCACGAAGTGAAAAACCCACGGTGAAAAACAACAAACACCGGAAGCTTAATCAACAGTTTCGCCAAGAGACTCGGCTTCGTTGGGAGATGGCTTGCAAGTGAGTACATACAACACCTGGTACATATCGCTACGGCAAAAAGTTGAGAACTTTGAAAAAAAAAAAAAAAAAAAAAAAATCCGAAACAACACAATTGCAAAAAAAAAAGAAAAAAAAAAGAGTTATAACAAGGTACGCGTGCCTACATAGCAAACAACTTGACCTGAGCCCGCTCCTCCTGCGGGGCGGCGAAATTCGAAGTGCGCTTGAACGCCTACAACAGTGGCTACAATAGGCCGTAAACAGGCGACGTCTTCGTGGTTGATGGCACCCAACGAGCCAATGCATCCCCGCGACGGTCGCCCCTGTCACGCCGGGCGTGTCAGAAAAAAAAAAATTAAATAAAAACATCGCAAAAAACAAAAAACAAAAAAAAACATTTGTTTGTCCCCTCTTCTGACTGTAAAAAAAAAAAAAAAAAGAGAGACGAGAGGGTATACGGGGAAAAGGGGGGGGGGGGGGTATGTTCGTGAGATGTGGTTAATGACACACGCGTGCAACGGAACAGCACGGGAACAGCACGGTTCCACAGAAGATAGCATGCATGCACAATATAGGAGTCGTAATAGAATAATCACGGCGGTCCATTTCCAGTCGAAAAAACTGTACCACTATGAAAGGTAGTCTAAATTAATGTTCTTATTGATGCAAGTGTTCCTGGACTCTCATTTATTCCTTTTTCTATAGTATTGAATTTGTAAATGAGGTATGACTCTCGCTGTTCGCGCTCCCGGTTCGATCTAAATCCAGTTTCCAGTAATGTCACAGGTAATTTATCGAAAGAATGCTCCGGGAGACGGAGGTGTTTTGAAAGAGGGAGACTTGGATTAGATTTAGAGTGAGCTTTGTGGTTGTTGAAGCGTAGTCTAAACGCTGTCTCAGTCTGTCCTACGTATTGCATTTTGCATACTCTACAGTCTAGTAATTACACTACGTTTGAAGAGTTGCATGTCAGTTCCCGTTTAATAATAATAATTATATATATATATATATTATGGTATAAAAATTGACTGAGCCAGAGACGACTCTGTCCCTGTTTCTTTTTCTACCACTGTAAGAAAAAGAAAAAAAATCCCCCTGCCCCAGTCTCAGGTTAAAGTCGTCATGATAACGCTCCTCGTGCATTCTTTTTCCAAAGCGATTTGCGTTTTTCTGCCGAAATAACATTGAACTGACACTCAAAAATCCCCGCATTTTAGGTAATACAAAAAATAACGAAACAAAATATTAATTTAGGGAAAAATAAATTCCGAGAGCGCGGGTTCCTGGAACTTCGGAACAACTCCTGTTGCTGTCGTCGTTGATGATACGATGGTTCTGCGCTCTAGAACAAACACGTGACCAGGCAGACGTTCTTGCGTTTTCTACCAAAGAAAAAAAAAATCGAAAGTACGGGGAGTTGAAAAATCTCCGATCAACCCAAAAAGGCGCCAACATCTGACTCACCAACGTCCCCAAGAACATTCCCTGGCCCCTAAAAGAGAGGGTGAGCTCTCAGCTATAACAGCGCTTGCTGGTTTGAAGCGCGCTTCCGGAAAATTCCACGACCCGGGGACTTTCTGAGTGAATAGGGACATCCCTGACGCCCGCTTCAAATCATAGGGAGTTTCAGGACAAGAAAGACACTCAACGGTCGTTTCCCTCCCAGTGGTGGATGTAGCTTTGTGTCGCCGGCTCGTTTTATTATTTCCTCGCTTTCGATCGCGACCAAAACCCCTGAAACTAGTCAAGGATTATAGTTGGTGCATTCCTACTTGCGTGTTACTGCCGCAAAGGCCGGTAACACGGAAGCGGTTCTTCGAAGCAGCGAAGCGGCGGTACTGCGGTGATTCTGGTAAACCTAAAATGGCGGTCCTTCGTTTATGCCGCCGTTGCCGGCCCCAGCCATGCTCACGGTACGTTGTCTCCGTTATTTTGTTCCGCGGCATTCGATATTTCGGCTGCAGAACACTTGTTTTCTTCATTATCTCTTTTCTTCAAAGCGGAAGCTAGTCAAGATTTAGCGACGTCTCTACGAAGCGAGCAGATGGGCGCGTTCGGTATTTAGCCTGACTAGCCCGCCTTCCAAGTCGGCATTTATCTCAGAGATGATTATTTCATTTGCCCGCTCTGTTTTGCCGACCGGGGTACGTTTACGCGTTGTAAACCGATTTGCTTTACAAGCTTCACTTCGCAGACCGAGTGTGCGGTATATCAGCTTTTTCTGAAGATCCGAATTTTCTTTTGCCGATTTACGAATCAATTTATAATGATTGCGAGTCGCTTAGCTGGTGCATTGCAAGTTGTCTAAAAAACAAGCTTCGGAACGGCATCCACTTTTTTTTTTTCTCATTTATTTACCGGTGGAATTGTTTAAGCGTGCTCTGTTTTCTGCACGCACGTCATATGAAGTACGGTTACTTTAAAAGCTCCGTTTTTCTGCTTTTGCCGCAATTGCGCAGAAAAAACTTCCAGCTGTATGGGGTGCGAACGTTAACTTTAGGTACAGCCTTCCAGGCACGGGTGCCGTGCCTTGTCTAGCGTCTTACGTCTTCCCTTTCCACCGTTTTTTTTTTTTTTTTTATTTCTCTTGTTGTTTTAGAAGTTTTCGCAGCTTGCGAATCTCTCTCATGCCTCATGATTTTTTTTTTTCTTTTAGTTTTCACAATCTCGTTGTGTGGCCGGCGGAGCATAAAACATGCAAGGTAATTCCTGCTTTGAGCTAGTCACGCAGCGTGCACTTTCCTTAGCTTGTCTATACTCCGTTTCAAACATAGCGTGCAATGTAGTCAAAGCTAGCGCGCCGGTTCGCACAGCCGACCGCGACTACGTTCGCTCCACAAAATAGTGCGGCCCCTGAAAAAAAAAAAAAAGTCGAAAAGTGTACATCTTTGGAGCTAGTAACTAATAGTGGCGTTATGATTTCGAGGGAACACCAATTCTTTTTCAATAAAAAGGAAAATATAATGTAAACTACTCCAAATTATTTTCCGTTTTCGTTCGTGCGGCACTCGCACTCGCTTCGGGTTTTCGGGTTGTGCGGCTGACCCTGCCTCGCCGGTTTCGTGAAGATGGCGTCTTACGCGGGAAGCTTTCTTTTCCTGCTCGGATATTTTCGAAGATTCGTTGTGTGAAGATCTCGCAAAAGTGCAAGCAGGTGATCGCCAACGTGTACGCGAGTTCAAGAACGTGTTTCCCGGAGACGTCGGTCCGTGAGGTCCTGGAGACGGTCAGTAACGACACCGGAGTGTCTGGCAAGGTGGCGTCCCCGAAGCGAAGACCTCGCAACCTGAAAGTTCCGAGCACGCGGACAGTGTTGTGAACTGCCACCTGTTATTTCTGGTGTTGAAATCGGCCTTATGGCTTCAAAGTGAAACAAGCCTCAAGAAGGAACTGTGTCGGTGATGAATCGTGCCTACGGCTCCGTCTGCTTGCGGGACCTTACAGCAGGCGGTGCCCGTGATTGCATTCCGAAGTGTCTGGGTTCTTCTGCCTGCGGGACCGTAACCATGGTCGGCTCCGTCTGCCTGAGGCACCTTAACCTTGGTCGGCTAAGTAAACGACGCACATGCCCGTGCCTGTATTCCGAGGCCCCTGCTTTCCTCGAAAAGGAAACAACACTCGATCCTGATCTCGAGTGCCGTGTGTTGTGTACGCGTCTATTGTGAATCACTCCCGGTTCATGTGGGCGCCGGCACCAGAGCACCGAGATACTGCCGTCTGGATGACTTCTTTCATACACCGGCGAGTATTCTGACTCTGAAGGAAACTTCCATGAAGTCACATCACGTGAGGGAATGCCAAGCCGTCTGAACAATGGCAGTGCGGTCCCCTAATCACAATATTCGTTATATAAAGGACCGTCCACCACACTCTCAAGGTACTCTCTGATTTTCACGCTACCATGTAAATAAACGGCTTTAAATAGAGACGCCCTGGATCTCGACCGTTCTTCCGTTTTGACGAGGCCGCCGCAAGTTCGAGCGGAACACCAGCCCCTTGTCTACCTTCTTATAAATAAAAATCAACAAGAAAAGAGGAATTGAAATATGCACTTCCGCAATACGCACAATCTTGCACAAAAAATCGGTCGAGGAAAAAAAAAAAAAAAACAACCTTTGCGCCCTAAGTGGATTCGAACCACCGCCATCGAGATGTCGGCATCGTCGGCATCGCCGGAGCAGCGCCTTGTACCGCTCGTCCACGAAATCTCGCGGAGTAACACAATTTTGTGTGTTTTTTCATGCGCACTTCTTCAGTAGCTTTCCCAGCGTTGCACGCGATGTTTGAAACGGAGTATATATTTGAACACCTACAGTGAGATTCAAAGTCTTGTTGACTTTAACATATACTTTTGTGCTGAATGTTAGTACATTCCCTAGATAAATTATTCGTAATTTTTATACCTTTCGTTTAATACTAGAAAAAACTTAAAATTCTAGAATCGAGGGCTTGGTTTTTAATTGATTGCAGCAAGCTGAGAACTAACATTAATTCAGCGAGTGCGTGTGTGTGTTTATAAAAGGGGGGGGGGGGAGAGAGAGAGAAGGGGGTTGCTCAGTTCTGAGCCGCCTTCTCTGCAATAAGCCTCCGTCACATAGCGGGCACCTCGGCGGAGGTTTGAATTCGCCACTTCCTCACACCCACAAAAACTTTTTTTTTTTTTTTGATGGAGCTGCCGAGGTAGCTTGTCGTAAAAATGTAACAGGCTGAAATAAGAAAATGAGCGTGGAACTTAATCTAGCTAATGTGGTTGAGTGCGGCCCACATCTTGTCTACAGTAGCACGGCCCAGTACATCAAGTGCAGAAATAACGGTTATTTTACGTGTAATCTCTTCGTGCATGTTAATATACTAATAATAGAAGACCGCTTGATAAGCAGTAATGGCGATCATTGTTAATCACTTTTTTTATCTACCTGTACGAGATGGCCATAGCTTCTGGACTAGTCTACATTTCTCAAGTGACAAATGCACCGAGGACAGGCGCCGAAAAAACACAAGGACAAGAAGAGACGTAAACACTGGCGCCAGGGTTTACGTCGCTTCTCGTCTTTGTGTCTTTTCAGAGCCTGTCCTCGATCATGAACCAACTGGCCCAAATTGCCATCTTCAGGACAAATTCAGTAGGAAGTGGCTATCGTTTATCGCTAATTGTACTGTTACTGACTGTTGGTGCATAACATCTCCTGTCTTAGTGATCTCGCGTGCCTTGATTTCTTTCTCGCTTACGGCATACTCCTTGATATGTTACGTGGCAGGCACTGCACAGAGTACTTCTCCCGGCAAAGTGTGCTGCGCTGGAAGTCGACGGTAGACACCAGAAGATGCAGCAAATCAATTGTGTGACCCCACAACAGATTGCCGACGAAGAATTCCTGAGCACCACTAGCCATTAGCTCCAGTTTGCAAGAAAGAAGGAAACGCCAGTCCCTACTACCAAACGAAGCCAGAAACAGCCAAGAAACCTGAGTGGGGACCTCAGTTTCAACAAGGAAGCACGAATCGAAAGGGGATCTTAAATAAACTTTGCATCAGAAGCTCCAAAAAAAAAAAAAGAAGAAAAACAAGGGCAGCCTTACGGCATGTAAACCCCTAGCGTAGCTACACGTATGCATTGATGAAGAAACACAAGCAAGCCAAAGCACGCACTCGATGTAAACCTGAGCAGCAGCTCAGCGTAGGTCCAACTCTTATCGCCGACGCCTTGGGAAGAGCATCGTCTTCGGTGCTTCCAGCTGAAGCAAGTTGCATCGGTGCTGTCGAGTAGTTCGCTTCGTGTTGGTGCGGAAAATGTATCTGAAAGAGTGCGCAATGTAATGTGTACAAGAGGTGCGTGGACCCGTGTTTGGGTTATTACGCCTGAATGTGCACATTACAACGTGGTCGATGTGTTTGTGCTAGGGAGTGGCAGCATTAGCTGTGTGTGTGTGTGCAGGAGTGCTCCTGGAGGTTGCGCGTTATGTGCGGTCAGCAAGGCGACACTTCTCGCCCGGATTACTTCGTTGTGTCCCTCCTGTGCTCTGCGGGTGTGGCTGCGGTGAATTCCGCATGGTGGATTCGTGATCTGTGGAAAGCACTCAACGCTGCAAATTGTGGTGGTGTGCCGTGTGTGTGGTGTGCTTACGGGCTTTCGTCGAAAGGCAGTCCTGCATCCGGAATATTGTGGGGAGGTGCCTACGCCTAGCCATGTGCATACATAGCTATGTGCAGGTGTGCATCATCACCGACGGTGCTTCCATGTCCTCGTATGCATCGGATGAGCAGACCGTGTTTGTGAAGCGTGTGGGTGGAAGGTGCGCGGTGTAGACCACTTCGCATTGATTGCGAGCGACGTGAAACCAGCGGGTCACTACGAGAGCTTCACATCCGGTGTACATTGTGGAGTGTTTAATGGAAAAACGGTGATGTGAAGTGCGCTGTGATGAAGAGTAAAGTGGTGCTTGCGAGTTACCAGCGGTGAAGGAGGTGTAAGGAATGTGCCACGGAATACCTGCACAGAGCGACGGAGTGAAGTTTTGGCAAAAGTGGGGCGATTCATGTGAGCGAAATATCAATTCCGGGCTACGAAAGGTGCGTGATGCCTCACCTTTCCGAGTGTGCGAGTGAGTGCAGTGATTTGTGAGCTTCAGTGCCATTGTGTCCCGAGTCGCACAGCGGAGTCAAGTTTCCGAGAGCTTCGAAAGGCGTTGGTGATCTGTGACGGTGTGGTGATCAGACGCAAGGGTGTGCGGTGATTGTCAAAGGCTCTTCTGTGAGTCGTGTCATTTTGACCGTCAACGTGCTGGTGGTGGTGTGTGTGTGTGTGTATATGTATGTGGTGAGTGTTTAGTGAAAACTTTTGCGGATATGAGCCCGTGTCCGCTCTGGTGAAGCTGCTTAGTTATTGCGAAGTGCTTCTGGTGGAGTGCAGTGATGTGGTGTTGTGTGGTGTTGGGGCGACAGAATGACCCTCAAGCTTGGCTTTGTGCAAAGTCCAGCAAGTGAGTGAAAGGTGTCGTGTGTGCTCCGCGTGAAGTGTTCTCCGAAAAGGCTGTACTCGTACAAAAGGTAAATATTATCTAGAGGTAAGTAAATCTATTAAACATCATTTTAATGGAACTGGAAAAGAAAAATACTTGTTGTAAAGCGTGGCGCGCCGCCCGCTGCACGCCTTGCAAACGTAATTTACGTTAAGACAGTGACGTCGCTGACCTAGCACGATAACGACCAGCGCTTGCCTTCTGATGCCTGAATCTGGACACTTCGCGAAGAAGTCGACGGGAAATCCGACGGCCGTGATTGGCCAACGCCGCACTTGACCTTGTCGCCGGCCAATCGTAGCCGCCGGATTTCTCCCGTACCTTTTCGTGTCCAGATTTGGGCGTCTGCTGTACCGGACTTGGTACAGCAGACGCGGCAAGTGGCGACACTCGTTCTGTACGGTGCGCGTGTTCACTGAATCTTGGAGCTTGCTCATTTCAGGTGTTGAGCTTGAAGATGGTGATGAGCAGCAACCACCTGTGTGAATGTTTTCGGGATCTCCTGGGGTGAGTGAAGGGTGAGAAATAAAAATTATTGCACTGAATCTTCGCTGGCCAAGATAAAAGGTAGGTGTTTTTTTGTTGTTGTTTTTTTAATGCGTTTTTTCTTGAGATCTGCCGTGTGTTTCGTGCCCTCTGATTTCAGCACTTTTAGCACGAGCGTCGAAACTGGTGAGGTGGCAGCGCTCCCCGTTTGAGCCCCGGATACTACGAGCCTGTTCGTCACGGTTCCCTCTTCGTCCTGTGAAGTCGAAACAGAAGTTAAAATCGTGATCGCATTTGGTTCAACCGATGCAAGGTCCCCATACACGCAAGGAGTCCTGCAAGCCCAATTTCGACCCGGAACTTCGTGTAAGTTATACGCGTGTGCAAATGCCCGACTTAACCGTAGTCGCGAAGTAATGGCCCTATTGAGTGGCGGCTTTTGTTTACGCCAAGCGTTCCAACTTGGACTTTACGTCGTTAGTGGGACTCACCAAACGTTCGAATTTGGAAAATAAAATACCCGAACGGGGCAACGCCAGGCGACGCGATAAGGACCAGGGGAAGTGAACGGCAAGAGCGAACTTTGTGGGTCATGATGCGCCGAATTTGCGCTTGTTTCGATTGCTCGGAGTACGCATCCGCTCGGAAGAATTGGCTCTCCTGTGCTTTCGCCGCTCCACACTGGCGGTGAGTATGATCAGGTAAGTTCTATGTAGTGCTAAAATTAAAATAAAAATACGGGCGGTTCAACACGCTCCAAATAACTTCGTATTACCTCGTCACTGTTACCCGTGAAATGTAACGGAATGACGCGAAGAAATGATGCCCAGCCGCGGTGTTACCTGTGTGACCAGCATATAGATTTGAGTCGCCCCCAAAAAAGCGTACACCATAAGAAAAAGAAAAAAAAACGTGCGTTTTTACGACATTTGAGAGCCAATCGCCGCAATTTGTGGGCTAGCTCGGCAAATTACGATGCTGAAAAATATTTAGTCCAAAAAACGCAGTCATTTGTGACGATAAGCAATGCAAGCGTTGCGTTTAACTTTTTGAATGTCAACTGTACTGCGTTTTTTTATTTTTATTCAAACCTGTTTTGGCATTGCCATTTGCTGAGCTGTCTCCGTAAGTTGCAGTGATTGGCTCTTCGAGTGTAGTGCGGGAAAGTAAACGCACTGGCTGTTTTTTCGAGTGTATTCGGGAACCAGAGCTGTAAACTCGCGCCCAAAAAGGCTGGTGACGACGAGAGATATGTAGGACGTCCAATCAAGTTCTGTGCACCACAGCAGTCATGATTTTGTAGAACTAAAAAAAAAAAAAAGAAGGTTCATGCCTCGTGCTTAGTGTGATCTCGCGCTCCACTACACAGTACATAGATTTATAAACAATGGTTTTGAACTCCTGTTTTGTGCCCGAAGTACGTAGTTGCGCAAAGAATTTCGACGACTGCCTTCGTGTTTCCATGTCCACGTCCATGCTTCGAACCAGGATGTAGCAGAGCGTGGTGGTAGGGTGCGAATGCCAGAGTTTTCCCGTTTCATGCGCAGCAATATCGCAGGCCACAAAACCGTCTGGTCTGTACTTCATGTGAAATAAAACGTTATGAACAGTGTCGCGCATGAATCGTGAACTCTGCTTACCCTATCCAAAGAGGGGGGGGGGGGGGGGGGGGGAAGGGGGGGGAGGGGAGGGGGAGGGGAGAGGAAAATGTTTCTTCTGAGACCTACATTCACGATGCATTCTGGTCAAGTCTATGTTGGAGGTGTGCGCGCGTGTAGTTACTAACAGATTATTGCACTCTGACTTTCTCTAGCAGCCGGTAAGTAGCTATTGATATTTTTGAAATAGCCTACTGGAGTTTTGTTTTCATTCTCCCCCCCCCCCCCCCCCCCCCCCCCTTCCAAAGGCGTTCGTTATTTTTTTTTTTCCTTCTTCCTTCGTCAGCCTCAATTGGTCAGCCTCATTCTCAACGTTCATGGCGTGGCTGCAGTAGAACCTGGATGCCTTGTAACTCGAAAACCTCATTGCCGGTGTCCAAACAAAGCAAAACCTGAAAACTCGAGAATTCGATTCTGGCGGCTTCAAGAAGACCAAACTTCCGATACGCTGTATAACTATGCACGATTACCCAAGTGGCAAGTATGCTTTTGCCACTGGGCCACCCCGTCGCTTCCGTCACGTCGTGTGCCTGCCTCTTCAGCGATATTGCTCTTTCATTGGAAACAGAAAAAAAAGCAAGTAAATATGACTTCTTTTTTTCCGTTTCCAATGAAAGAGCAATATCACTGAAAAGGCGCACGACGCGTACTGAAAGCGACGGGGGTGGTACAGTGGCAATGGCATACTTGGGTAATAGTGCGTGGTAAGAACCTGAGCTGTGTCGGTGTCGCACCATTTTTCCTACTACGTCTCCTGGCGTCCCAAGAGCCAGTGATTTTCTTGACAGTCCCGACACACCCCAACCAGGCTGAGTCCAACAGCCCGGCTCGCAGATTGACAGTCCTGGATAAATCCCCGCTAAGAGCGGAGGGAGATTGGCTTTCGAACAGTGTGCTTATTGGCACGGTTTGACCACCGGAGAGGGGTCAATGGCCGATTCTGTTCGTAGCGAGCCTGGACATTCGCCGCGACGTGCGCCAATGACGAGGCCGAAGGTATGTATCGCGGAGCGTGACGTGGCACGTGAAAGGCCATGCTCAATGTCGCATCGCAGGCTTTTCTGGGTCAACATCCGCCGAGCTCCCTCTAGATCGCAATCTTCCTCGACTGCTCTGCCGGAATGTGCAGAACGAACCCCCCCCCCCCCCCCCCCTCTCACGCGCACACACACGCACACATTTTTTTTTTTTTTCCAAAATTAAGCGACGCGTTGTCGAGCTGTTCTCCGCCCAAATGTAGCCCTAGCAGTCTGATCCAGATGCCGAAGTTTTAGAACTAACCGTCATCTTATTAAAATCTGAAAGGTAATTGGCGCCATTTAGCTCCATGCATTTGAGGGCGCCGTCATCCGCCATTTTCCCATTGAAACTTTCAGAGTTCGAACCGCTAGCGCTACGTTTGGGCGGAGCATGACCGTTCGGCGATTCCTAGTTTAGTGTTCTAGTACAGGGGTCTCCAAACTTTACGCCTGACGGGCCGGATGAGGTGTATGTCGCAGGCTCCAGGGCAAGAAAAGAAACATGCAAATGGAAATTCGGAAAAACTAGACAAATAGACAAAAGCATTTTATTAGAAAGATCAAAGTAGTGTAGAATTTAAAAAAAATAATCCAAGGTGTAATACCAAACCTACAAGCGAACGACATAATATGACGCGAGAAATACAACCTCTCCGGGCATAAATCAAGGCGCTTAGGAACGTTGGCATGTCTGCTAATGGCGGACGACTAATTAAAATGCATAAGCAATATGCGAAACGTATCACACAGAAAACCGCGAAGCTTTGGCAGGGAAATCATTGCGTCAATTTAACGTAATTCCAAAGAGATAACGCAGGGGATCAAGAATGGAGGTGATGACAATGTGCAATAAAGGTGACGGAAAATTATCAGCGGTAAAAAAGTTCAGAACGGATATGAAGCGCAATTGATGAGCGTCGCGCTTCTTTGGACGCTCTTATTTTGCGCCGCTAGCAGCGGTCCCGTTGGAAACGGGCCGGGGATCCCGACCCGCCCCGCGTTTGCCGCTTGGGGCGGGTCGGAGGTCACTAACGTTGACGTCAGGCTCAGAACTTTCCTTTAGACACCATACATTTATTTTATTTTATTTTTGCATTATATTTATGCCGTTTATGCTCCCCTGACATCGGGAACCTGCAAATGCAAGTTTAATAAAAAGTCGCAGATTGTTTGAAGACGGAAATAGCGGTTTAAGATGGCGGCTTCAGCAAGAGTAGTGGCGGTTGTCGCTACTCTTAGGGCTACAGGGCTCCTAACTGGATGTATAATTTGGTTGTCTTATGAATTTTGAAGGTTTGCTCCTGCCACCTGGCTAGAGTAGAGTGAAACCTTTTCTTTCGGGAAATTAAGTTGAGTTAACGTTTAAGTTATTGATACTAAAATCAAGCCCATATAATTATAGAAGGAATGGATTATGATGGAACGAAGAGCCGTTAAAAAGACTGAAGAAGGGCGGTTTCATTTTTTTCCCCACCCTTTCCAAGAGCGGGGCTGCGCGTTTGGCCACTTCTATAGATTAAAGAGTGTATTGTTGAACTCGTATAGCTATTATAATGTGCGCTAGTGGTTCAACTGGCGCGAGTGTCTATGGCCGTGTTCCAAAATTTACTCGATCTTACTCCAGGGTAAGGGTTAGCGTTTCAAAACCTACCCGCGTCCAGCGTTTTTCAATCTGTGTTGTCACGTGACACGACCCGCCGGAGTAACTCGGATCCATTTGGGTAAGATTTGAAACACAGCATATGGATCTTCCGGTTTCAAATTGAAGCAGACAGCAAGCAATTAAATTTTGCAGTGTTTCTGTGCATTTCTATGAGAAACCGCGCGTGCATTTTGTGTCTTCGCTGGAGAATAACTGGAATTATGTGTGTTACTTGGGTCGTATTGAATAGTAGATAACTTCATTGAACATTATAAAAGTGAAATTTCTTTAGTTACATTATTTCACCTATCAGTAAGCGATGTTTAACTTACCAGTATTCCGGGTCCAGTCCTATATGTTCCTCGCCAAGTGTGGAAACACAAAGCGGCGAATCTAAGCAAGAAAAGCAGTAAAAAACAAAGCAGGACTTGTTCAAGGGGCGCCAACATCCCGATGGCGCTAATTTTGATAGTCTGGGAGATTTATATACCACTAAAATGACTCCCATTTACGAGTGGTTTAAACGCGTAAAACAGTAAAAGTGCTTGCATTATAAACGGTGTATTTTTGTTTTAATATTCTGTTGAATTTATCGAACGACTACATTTTTTTTTTTTTGCTTTTTTTCCGTTTTAAAAGTTTTCGAGCACGCAGGTATGCGTTTTGAATGCTAGAGCACACTTAACCCAGACATGAGCAGCAGAGTAAATAAAACGAATGTTATTTATTGCAAATGGCACACATTACTCGACTTCATTTTGATCATCTACATGCATTTCGAGGTGCTCTTCATTGCTTTGGCACGTAAACCTTCATGCAGAAAAGCGCCGATGCCATGTTCGCGCTAACAGTGCCACGAAACCATTTTAGCATAGTTTTAATGCCATGAATTTGAAGGGAAAACGCCATAACTAACCAATATTGTTTGTCTGTGTGAGTGAGACATGTTCCAAGCTGTCTAATACGTACGAATTATTCGTGATATTTGCTCTTGCAATCAAGCCCAGGGAGAAAACGCACTCTCTTTTTCCCATAGAAATTCATTACCGGAAGTCAATTTCAGACTGGTTGCTGTCTGCTTCAATTTTAAACCGTACACTAGCGCCAGTTGGACCTCTAGCGTACATTATAATAACTCTATGGTTAAAATTTGTTTGCCTTTAGATACGATCCCGTACCTGGGATCGTACTTCCCCGCTCAGCGAATGCGGCCACCGGACGTTCCGGATCGGCCATCTTACCAGATCACAGTCGGTCACATGAAGCTTATCGGGCGGGACGTGCCGAAGTGCACGTTTTCGGCTTCATCGCTGTTCGTCAAAAAAGATTTTTTTTGTTTTTTTTTTGTTTTTGTATGAATGGTTTTATCTGTCTGAGGACCCGGGGAAAATTCTACGAAAACGTACTCATACAAAAATATCCAGTGGTCGTCCATAAAAAAATCCTTTGTATGGTCGGCTAGAAAAAATGGATTTTTGCTATGGCTGTCTTTAGCATTCCCTATGGTCACCCCTATGGGTGTCTTTAGCTCTGCCTATGGCCATATCATTTGTTGGCTATAGCACCCACCAGCCTTTTGAATGGTAGCCTAAAGACTGTTCTACGACATCCTATGGCCCTTTAGCTGTACTGCTATATCACCCTATAGATTTTCCTATGGTTCTTTTACCTGTCTATTGTATTCCGTACGGTCTGCTACAGCTTATCTTATAGCTCGTCCTATTGTTCTCTTTACCAATTGTACTGTAGTTGCCTACAGTTTTTCCAATGGTATCTTTAGCCGCCTATAGCCCTCTGTATGGTCTGCCATAGCTTATTCGTCCTATGGTTCTCCTTACCCATCGTGCTATAGCTGCCTATATCTCTTCCTATGGTTAGCCGCCTATTGTCCTCTGTATAAGGTCTACTGTAGGGATGCCGCGAACGTTTTTCGAACCGAAGTTTTGACGATCGAATCAAGCGGTTCGAAAGATTCGAAAGCTTTCGAAGTTTCGAACTTTTC